AAAATTAGTGTCTAAATTCGTAAGTATAAAAATGTTTGAATGATATGATCCACAGGATCACAAAAACAAGGGTTTAAAAGACCTTTGAGATCATCCAGTCCGTCCTATGACCTAACACTGCTGTGTCAACCAGATCATGGCACTGAGTGCTGCATCCAGTCTTTTCTTAAACACCTCCATGGACAGTGATTCCACCACACCCCTGAGCAGCCCATTCCAATCTCCAGTCACTCTTCCTGTGAAGAAATTCTTAAAGTCCAGACTAAACTTCCCCTGCCACAGAAGGCTAGAGGGAAAGTAGTGGGAAGGCTGTGTCCTCTTGTCCTGTCACTGGTTACCTGGAAGAAGAGATCAACCTCACTCAGATGAACCTTCTCAGGCACTTGAGGAGGGTGATAAAGGTCACCCCTGAACCTCCTCTTCAGGTTAAATACCCCCAGCTCCCTCAGCCACTCCTCAGAGGACTTGTGTTCTAAACCCTTCACCAGCCTTGTTGTCCTTCTCTGGACATGCCCCAGCAATTCAACATCCTTCCTGAATTGGGGGGCTCAGAACTGGACACAGAACTTGAGGTGCGCTTTCACCAGTGCCAAGTACAATCCCTGCCCTGGGCCTGCTTGTCACACTATTGCTGATAAAGGCCAGGATGTCACTGGCCTCTGGGAACATTCCTGGCTCACGTTCAGCTGCTGTCAGTCAGCACCCCCAAGTCCCTCTCTGCCTGGCTGCTGTCCAGCACCGATGCCCAAAGCCCAATGCTCTTATGCCCTGTTTATTTGTTATTTCATTTGAATAATTGAAATGAAAAAGAAGTATGTAAATTTCTTGGGTACTCAGTAATTACACCTTCAGAAAATATGCTTGTAAGACCAGTCCTTTGAAGTAGCACTCTGCCTATTTAGCAAATCCATAATTCCCACACTGAATACTTCCCAGGTACTTCTCTTTCAGACCTCTCTTGTACGTAAAATGAGTATAAGTAAAAGCAGCCCTGTTTTCCAATGGTTTTGTAACTTGAAAAAATAAACAGTGTTTTATAGATGATCATGGGTATCTGCCACTTCTTGTTTGTTTTCTTCTGTTCTTGCTGTGGCTGGCGTCTCTTTCTCATCCCTATCTGTTTATTTAGTGATATGGTGCAGCTGCAGAAGAAAGTGCATTAATAAATTTAACTGGGCCCATGTGCCTCTGGTCCAGGTGCCTGGGGTTGTTTCTGTACTGAGCTCCTGCTGTAGGGAATGTACAACAGGAACACTGAAGTTACTTGAAGGCAGGGCATTGCCTGCCTTGAACTCCCCAGCCTACCTTAGTATTGCCAGGGTTAACTGCTGCCATACCTACCTGGAAAGGTGCATAAAGTTTTGTATTTCTTTCAAAGTATTTTTTTCTGCTTTTATCTTCAGGCATTAAACCTTCTATTTAATATCATTTCAAAGCAAATTAAGTACTTTTGCTCTAATATGTACAATATCTACAATATATGTAGATGTACAAGATGTATATGTACAATATGTATTTTAGTCAAATACAGAATCACTAATGGATGTTTTAAAATATATTTTTAAGCCAAACTGCTTAAAGTTATTTCCTTCTTCATTTAAATATTAAAATCTAAAAGGCTGTTTGGTGTTTTTTGTTCTGCTGGTTATTGCTTGATTTTTTGTGGTTTGGTTTTGATGGCATCTCTAACATGCAAATCAAATACAAAGAGCAAATTTGCCTGTACTGCTGCTTTGGTTGTTTGTGGTGTCTTCTGTACTAAAAGAAGTTAATTGCTCTGAACTCATTTTGGCAGATAAAAAAGTTGTTTACAATGTTTTTTCTTCTTCCTTTAATTGTGCAAAGAAGACATGGCTATTAGAAACATATTTTTATTTCCATTTTTTTGTTATGACTACCAGTTCCGTGTTTGCCTAGTTATTTCCAAAGTAATTTTTCCTTCACAAAGAATTATTTCTGAAGATAGTCAATTTCACCTTATTTTTATATGTGTTAATGATACTGCAATTTACAGTTCCTTTCACAACAAAAAGGGAATTTTTCTCAATAACTTGTGAGATACTAGCATATTAGGAACCAGGTAACAAGCATCTGCATTTACATTTAAGATTTTTAATTCATATAAATTATTCGATAATAATAATTCATGGTAGCATAAAACTATAATTAACAGTAATTTTCTGAGGACATTTTCTAAGAGCAATACTGAGTACTTACTGATAGTTTTTGCTGTATTTCAATGATACTGGAAATTACCCAAGTCACAATGAATCTAGTTAAAAGATCTGAGAACTGTTAGTTATAAATCAGCAGTACTATATAATGTACTTTACTGAGTCAGAGATGGAAGACACAGATTTCCTTTGAAATCCCAAGCTGTTGAGCATACAGTGCCTTTAAAGTGAGATCTCTTTTTTTTCAACATCAGCCTATTAAATTCAAGGAGGGCAGTATACAACTGATGAAGTTTTTTTTCAGACCTGTTAAAAGGCTGATTTAAAAGTTACAGTTTGTGTGGGTAAATATTTTGACATTGATTAGATGCATCATGAAAGAAACAGTGAAAATAGCTTATTGGCTTTTTTGACTATCCAGTTCATGTGGCACTATCCACAAGCAAATAGAATAATGAAAAAAGGATTGTTTTTATAGCATTACATTTCAGTATCACAAATTTTTAAAATGTGCACATACACTTTTATGTCACAAAGAACATCGTTATAGACACAACCAAGCAGGTGCAGAACTTGGACTTCCAAGAGCACATAGACGTCTGACAATATGAGAGACTTCTTGACTGTAAAGACTATATGTAATATAGAAATACATAACAGTGTGAGATTCCTCATTTGAAAACAGTGTTTCATAAACAGAAGGGTAAGTTGCTAAGTCCCTTCTCCTTCATAAAGAAAAGTAATCTCAGAACCTTTGGAGTTTGTCAGTCTCAAGGAGAACTAAAACTGAATAGCTACTGAGAAAAAAAATCAGAAAAAGAGGAACAGAACTTGAGTGCATTTTAGTCTGGTTCATTGCTAATGTTTCACTCATGAGTACAAAACCACATGAGTGAGAAGTTTACAAGAATAAAGAATTAAGACAGGGACATAAAAGAGCTGGAATACTAAGGAATGCTATTAGCACAAAATTGATAAACATGACTGATCTTCTACACTAAAACTCTTATGTAAACTTGATTAATCATTGTCATGAATGTTAGTATGTACATACTTTTAGAATAGCAAATTAATTTGTCCAAAAAATATAACATTTGTGTATTCTTTGAAGAACTATTTTATTCCACATACATGTTCTTCAATTGGTTTTAGAGCCATCTGTTACAAAACAATTTAACACAACATTAAAAAAAATGTATGCTTAGAATTCCAGATGAAATGGTGTTCAACAAAGAAACTGTTTGTTCCCTCCATTGCTTTATTGAAGGAATAATGAACGATGCATATAAAAATCTGAAAAATGTGGATAATGGAAATATAAGATATGTTTATTGTTAAGAAGGATCTGTAAATGTTAATCCAAGTTATGTATTGCTACGTGTTTTACATCATTATAGTCACATACTTGGAATAAATGTGGACCTGGAACAAAAATTATGCTTGTCCTTATGCAAACTTTGTGTCTCAAGTAGAAAAATAGATCATTTCTTTAAAAGTAAGAATAACAATCAGGAAAATATAAGCTAGTTTTCTCACAATGTTAAAACTCGAAGACAAATAAACCTGAATTGTTTAATGATGTTTTTAAAATATGAAATAAGTTTAACAAATCAATTTTTTACTCTCTACCCTTGGAAGTTAAAGAACATTAATATTTTAGGTCCATTTTCATTCTACTATATAGGATAACATATCTATTATTTTGTTGTCTAGATTTCCAGTAACAGGGATAATTAGAAAGAGGTATGCCTTGGAAAACCAGCTGCTTTTGATATATAAACTTTATCACAAGAATCCTTTATATTGGCTATAAGCCTGTCTTGATGGTTTGTGTCATTGTATCCAAATGTTTATTAAAAAACTAAGTCATTAGGTCACCAAGTTAATTCACTCTCTATAAGTTAAATTAGGGGGCAAAGATAGAGACTTTAGGAGATGATGAGGAGTGTCTCACTCAAGTGTTACACTGAAATGTATGTGCTTAATTCCTTGAGGACATATTCCTCATAACAGTTTAAATATAAAGGTCATCTTTAAAACTCTTGCCAGGACTTACAACTGAGCTCAAAAAATCAAACAACTCAAAATAGAAGAGATGGAAAATGCTGAAAATTGTTATAGCATGTAAGAGTTTGGCCCCAGTGGGCCAAATGAATGAAGTTCAAGAAAAGAGAGAAGATGATCGATGTCTACACAGGAGAAAAGCCTCTTCTTTCCCCTGTGTTGCTGTAATTCTTTGAAAATTCAATCTTGTCTACACGAGAATTCACGTCAAAACAGTTCATACGGACTTGAACATACTCCATGCGAGGTTTTCAAGTATAAATTTTAATTTCATGAAAGCTGATCTATCAGTTTCTAAATGCCTCTGGAGTAAAATAATCCTTTCTTAATAACTGAATGAGAAATTCACTCTTTTCTCCACTGAGAAAATTATTAGAGAAATTAGAGACATTATGGGTTGCATTCAAATGAGCTCCTTCAAGCCTACATGTTTTCTTCCGTCTGGACAAAACAAAGTTATGATACACTTCACTCCCATTCTACCTGCCCTTAAGGCAAAATAAAAAGGAAAAATGTCAAATCCTGATCTTCCTAAATGTGAGAAGTAAAAAAAAAAAATTATGGAAGTTTCATCTGCTTCTTAAACAAAACCCAAAGTCTCTCTCATTTACAAATGACCTCTAAAAATAATGTCTACTTTGCACATACACAGGAACATTCACAGACATTTCTCAAAAAAATCCGGATAATAAAATTGATTCATTTTCACCTCTTATAAATAATAGATAAAATAAGACCACTAGACCTCTTTATTAGTAGCTAGTCCACTTTATTACATCTCCAGTTCTGGAAGGAAGTGATATCACACATAGTCATTTCTTCAGACTGGTTATTTTCTGAAAGAAATAGAAACATTTTAATTTTTTGTGAGTTTCAGTCAGTTACAGTTCAAATCTATAAGAAAGAAAAAAAAAAAAACAAGTATAAAAAATACACATGAAGTTGCTTAATAATGTAGTTAATTGATCCTACTGCTCCACTTCACCAATCCAATAAGTCATTAAAATAAACCCCAAATTCTAAATTGTGTTTGACAAGAGGCATAGATTTTTAAGGATCTACAAGAAAATCAGAACAGAAAATGGATAAGTATCTCCATCTCTAGCACTATGTATAAAGATTCTCATATATATATATATATATATACACACAAAAAAAAACCTCATCAGAAAACATATCTGAAATATATGTCTATGTAGAATAGTCTGGTATTAGCAAAATAGACCATGTTCTCAAATATGTCAAGCTTGTTTTAAGAAATACAGCCTTCCAAATTACAAGAAAGACTTCTTTTGACCTCTGCAAAGTCCATGGAGAGCAAACCTCCAGCTGCCACATAATGAACAAAACAAGATCACAATGATAAACTGACATTAGCAGCTGCATAGCGTGTATGGATAAACAACTATTTAATAAAACAAATCCCTTTATTGTTATAAATGACAGAACATGTATTTCATGCTGATATGAGCTGGTGAAAAAAGTGTATTATTACCATTTGTTTCAGCCATATGTTCTCATTCACAGTATTGCTTACAGAACTAAAAAATATTTATCTTATGGATTAGAATGCGGGTTTCTAGAAAATTCCACAGCTTTACATGATGCTAATGAGAGAAAATCATAACACCAAATATCAGAGCCTCTTTACTAAAACTTTACTCAACCCTAGAACTAAATTTTTTTTTACTGTTTACCTAAAGTTTTCTGATTGCAGTAATACATTTCTCACTTTTGAAAAGGGGTCAGAGAGAGAGACAGACAGTAAAAGGACAGCACACAAAGAAAGAAAATAATAAAAAGAAAAGGAATTGGCTGAATTCTTTCTCTCTCACATAGCTTTTTACTGTTTTCATTTTCCCTAGCCTCACAATTAACCTGTGTGGGGAATAGCAGAGCCCTGTTCTGAAGCCTACAGGGTCATGTAAGAAGTGGCATCTGATTTTTATCCTTTTCTAGGAACTGACCACTCACTTCACAGAGATTTTAAGGTTATTACTAAATTACAGTCATCTGAAGAGCTGAAAAGAAATAGCAAACTTGTTAGAAACTTTGTAATACTTTGGATAGGTGAAGAAGTTCATTGCTGTCTTCCAAAATATTTTTCTTATTAGATGTAAGGAGAGAAAGAAATTTATCAAGAGGATATCTGCTGGAAAAGAAAAAAAAAAAAAAAAAAGGGAAAAAAATTCAGCCAACAAATGCAACCAACTTTGAACTAACAACCCATAAGAGTGAAAATTTTCATTCTACTAGACATTCAAGAATCATTCTAGGATGTGACAAGACAATTCCTACAATAATTTGGCGTTCAACATTTAAATTCAAGCAATTGTTCCAAAGTTGACAAATCACCTTCATCCCTTCCTTCCCTCTCCCAAAAGAAAATATACGGAAACAAAATTAAGCCTTACATTTTCCAATTTATTACCACTTCCAAAACTTGATCAGCAAATACCAGGTACATAGTCTGTAAATCCTAGAGATCAAAGAGCTTCTCTTTTCTGATAGAAATACATAAAGAAACTGTCCACAAATTAAAAGAGAGAATAAGAAGAAAGAAAATAAAACCAACTACGTCTATTAGAAATAATTCCTTTGAAATTTGAAGTCCAGATTCGTACCAAGGCATTTCTAAATTATCAGAGGTGGTCTTCATGTTCTAGAGTGTTCTCTACATTTTTCTGCAGATTTACTGTCTGCAGATTTATACCCTTTGAAGTTCTGAAGTTCTGCACCTGCAGCTGCAATAGTGAAGGAATTAGGAGACTGACAGGAAAATCTTCTTCTAAAGCCTGTGAATTTAGTGAAAGTAGCTATGGAGTGAAGCACTGTATGGAGTACAGTTATTATGCAAACTCTGAGTCTGAAGGAACTCCAATTGTTTTCCCAGTCTATATCAAATCAATGTTTATGAAAATACTAAAAAGATTTATTAAACTTTAAAAACTAAATTTAATAAAATTGCAGTTGTTAAAATTATCAGCTTTCTTGGTTCATTATATAAAATGACATTATGATGACTTGTTGTTCACCTAGTCTTCTACCAGTGTTAAAATGCTGAACTGATAATACTGATGGAATCATTTACATCCCTCTCTGATTTAAGTCCTTCATCCTTTCATGGAATAACCATCAACTAGAGTAAATATCCATGTGCAATATGCACATACTTTTTTCAGTGCTATAATATATTTAAAATCTAAGATTATAAAAATGTTCATGAAAAAGGTCTAAATATACAAACTAAAATAAATAATGTTTTGCAATCAACTAATGCAGGGTTTTGAAAAGTTGCTCCTCAGTTACTATTTTCTTATTATATTCTACAGAGTTTCAAACTTTGGAGTGAATTCTAGGAGGCTGGGGAGAAAACATAGATAGGTAATTGTAAAATGGAGGTTAGAAATTTATTTTCTGAGTTGAAATTTTCATTCAATCACAGATATTCAGTAATTAGGAATTCAGGAAACATGAACAAATGCTGCAATGTAAGGATTATGAGAGCTGGTAGCTCTGTCAGATCATCAAGATTTGTTATTTAATTTGTTACAGATGCAGAGTGTTCACTACATATCTTAAATCCTATCCTGAAGGCTGTTGCCACCATATGAAGTGTCAGGAGCAGCTGTCACCTCTCTCTGCTAGGTGACAGCTGGTCCCTCCTTAGGGCCCTACTCGGAAACAAGCCAGTTGAGAAAGTACTCAGCAGTATGAAATAAAAATAAAAATTATATAAAAAAAAAACCTGTGGAAAACCACTAAAAATCATGAACAAACTTAATTCCTATAAAGCTCTGCTAGTCTCAGCAGAGACTAGCACTGTCTGTCTTACATTGGATTAAATTTTAATAACTTTTTAACAGTAATTTTTGGAGTTAATTTCTTCTTCAAATAAATACATGTTACATAATTTTAAGGATTTAATAGATATGACAGTTTGCACACTTGCAGTGTCAGTATGTAGAAGAATGGATAGGGTGAAGAGTGTATTTTTTTTTCTTATTACATAAAGAATCAGCTGCCAGCTAAAGTCAAAAAGCCCCCAGCATAGTGCCATATGCCATATACTGTATATGCAACATATGTGTCCATCCATTGCACAGGAAATATCAACATCACGCAAAAGTTGTAAAATAAATGCATAACATTAAAAATTAGATCCTTATATACATTATAAATATGTATAGTAATACTGTATATAAGTATATACAGTACTTCCTTGCAATGACTGTACCAAACAGTAAAAGTAAGCAAGTTTTCAGCTATTATGTTGCAACTAATTTTTTCTTCAAACATGGGCGTTATAAACAGAAAGATCAACTAGCGGGAAGGAAAGAAGGGAGGAACACAGAAAGCAATTTGATCAAAATATCTAAATGCAAAGTACCACCCATTAGGAGGCTGTGACATGCTAAGAGCTTTGTCCTGCAAAAACAATACTAACTGTACATCAATAAAACTGTCTGCATGAATACTCACAGCTGGGTGATAAAAAGGGAAGACGAGAGGAGCTGGAGAGCAGCTCAGCCTTTCTTCAGTTGTTTATGAACCTCATGCTGCAGCTGGGGGCCACTGATCTGATACGTCCCGTACCGGTGCGGGATGTCAGGCTGCTCTCCCTGCCAGGAGCACTGCACCCCAAACTGCTGGCTTTGCTATCACGCTCATGAGCTTCACTGACCCCATTTCTGTGTCTCCCTCCCTCCCCACAGAGCTCAGTATTTGGGGGATGGAAGATATGATCACAATCTTTGCACAAGGTAGTTAATAAATGAATATGTAGTTCAACCTCATGGTTTTTCACATGTGGTATTCTGGGTCTTTCACAATATGACAGGCATCACAACATCGCAGCTTTTCTCCAGGTTTTTCCAGAAAGGCAAAACAACTAATCAAATAATTTTTGAGGAATCTTACCAAGGACAGCACTAGCTAGAATGAAAGTAAAAGCTTCACCTAAGAATCTTTGCAGGCATATTAATTCAAGATTGTTTTCTTTACTAAATAGAAAATATTTTCACTTCACTTAGTAACACAGAACCTTCTCATAGTCTTACACATGCTTTGTCCTCTACCAGAGTGCATAGATGACCCCCATTTTAAAGCACTCAGTATATTTCTTTGCTCAATACACAGCATGTGTACACCTTTACAGATATTTAGGTGTGCCCTGTCTAACCAGGAGACAGAAAACTGGTTGCACTACACCAATCAAAAGACAAAGGCTTTGCCTTTTGGGTTCAGCCATGAGGAATACTGCAAAAAGGAACCGGGAAGAGTTAAACAGAGAGAAAATGGTGCACCACTTACAAAAGCAGAGGAATATGATCAGTTAAAAAGACTGTGCATGCATGTACAACTATGCACATTGGACAGGAGGGTCAAATCTAGACACAGGAAGTAAAGAACCAAAACTTGCAAGAGTTTCCCTTCACTCCTGTCAAGGGAATCAGATTTTCTGGAGTTCCAGTCTGTATCTGTACTGGCCTGGAAACCCATTTTCAGGCACTGGGCATCCTTTTTGAAATCTAGCTATGTCAGTGCAGGAAATTAGGGTCTTCCACTCTTCTCTCTGAGTCTTCACCTCAGGCAGCATACCCTTTTTCAACCAGTGGTAAGGATGTTCATCTAGTATGCCTTATCCTTTGTATCAGTTAAAATAAGTGGTGGATTCAGGGCACATGCAGTACTTAGTAAATTTAAAGTTGCAGAGTAGATTTCATCTGAAGTGGATTAAATAGTTGTTATGCAAGGAATTTGGATCACAGCTTTAAGAAAATGGTACTATTTAGTATGAATGCAGTGATGAATATATTTTCCTTTTTCACAATAAAACAACAAGAAAAGGGGGATGTGAACATATTGTTTTGTAATTCCACCAGGAATAAGAGTAATTTAAAAATCTTTACAGTAAAATTGTTTAAATTACAGCAGCAGGAATTAAAAATCAATATTAAAAATCCAAATTAAAGCAAACAACATGTACAAAAAAAAGAGAAGAAAACAATAAACCATAATCTCCTTGAGAGTATTGTTTCCAGAATTTAAGTGGGCACAAGTTGCAAAAGCAGGCTTCATGATTCTACAGTGACATAAGAAGTAAAGGTTGGAAAGAGAACAGTCTTAATCTAATCATAAGCAGCTACAGAAATGCTGTGTCCCAGCTGTGATCTCTGGAGAACCGTATTAACATAGGGGTGTTGCAAAATGTATGTGTCCCAAATAGTTGCAACCCATGGAGACCAGCTTTAGATAATGAGCAAAAAGAAGGTTAGCAATAGCTGAATACAAGCAGAAAGTAGCAGAGCTCTACATGTTATCTATCCCCATACCACCTATAAAACTTGAAGTGCATTGAGCATAACATTTAACTTTGGCTGAACTTGATAAACAACTTGAACAGGGTAAGAAATGCATTAGTAACCCCTCCTGCTTTCTCTGCTAACCCACTAATAATTCAAACATATTTAGGCAGCTTCAACTACAAGACATTCCTAGTATATCCTTAACCATTCTGGTGCTAAATACTACATCTCAGCTCCACAAACGGTATTTATGCACACAAATCCTGCTGAGTATCTAACTGTCTAGATGCTTGTGTCAACTTTTGGAAAATATTTTCTTTTTAGAAGAGGCTTTTGCACAAAAGAGGAACTGAGTGTAATACCATGGTAAAATCACAGAAATGTCCCTGTAGTTTGCTTTTTGGTTAAGACACATATAAATATATATTTTAAAAACATATATGTAAATTATACATATATATATATATATATATATATATATATGTACATATAAAGGCTGATTAATCTTAGACTTTAGCTCTTCACTCCATCTACCATTTTCTCTGATCCTTCACATCTGCATATTTTACCATGGGGAAGTTCGTTATCTTCTTCTTGAAAAAGAAAGAAAGTTGTGACCTTTACAGCGAATGAGTGGAACATGGAAGGCAGCAGAGCCCTATGCAGAACTCTGTCTCAGATGTAAGGAGATTTATGCATTGCTGAAGTGCTTTCCCAGGAGATAGAGCAATGCAGGTATGCCTCTGAATTTTCAATTCAGATTTGTTAATAAATGTCTTGTTCATATTACTCTGACTTGCTATTATTCTGACTAATATATGCCAAGCCCATTCACAAAAACACTGTTAGTGTCTGGGATGAAAGAATAGACAGTAAAAGACAAGCACAGGATAGTTGCTTCTAACCCACTTTTTCAAGTATTTCTAACTTTTAATACTTCTGGTTCTTTCTCATCAGGCAGATGAGATTAAGCAGCTTTAAGATACTTTGCTTGTCTTTGTTCTATACAGTGGAAAAGGAGATAAGAGCAGATAGAAAGTCATTTCACTTGGTGCCAGGTGGCCTCTGCACTAGCTTCAAGCAGGCAATGTGCAGCTAAAATTCATGCCCAAACTCTATTTGTAACAACTGATTAAAGTGAGTGACCTTGATTTTTTCCCCCAAACAAAAGCTGCAAGGGCAGTCTTATCTGTCTTCCCCATCAGTAAAGTGGCACATTTTTTTTCCCCTAGACCTAAGCTCTCAGTAAGGATGTGAAAATTATTGTAACTTGTAGACACTTCAAAAAATACCCAACAGATCTACCTTGGCCGGAAGTCCAAGATGCATTTTTAGTAAACTGAAAAAATGTGAAATTATTTTTAAAACTAGTTACCTTATTTGCATAATTCTTTAAAATATTAATGAAGTTTGGTCTCACAAAGTAAGAGCAGCTTCTTTCATAGTTGCAGTAGTTCCTGGAATACAGGTGTACATAAATTCAGTGACACAGTGGCATGATGTTTTAGGTTGGTAGTAGATTTTTTTTCATGGTGTCACTGAGAAGAAAAGAGTTTACAAAGCAAAATAAGGAGCCCATTTTAACCCCCGACTAGAGCCTTTATGCCAGAAATCTCATACCAGATCAAACTCTCTTGCAGCATTAGAAATGCTTGTCTAAGTGTTTTCTTGCCATTATTTCTCATTGTTGCATACTTCTGCACTTGTGTAAGGAGACCTTAGTGACAGCTGAAACACAAAAAGCTGTAAATTGCAATAAATACATATGTTTAAGTTTTCCAGTGGGAAGAAAAGCTCCAACAAGTGAGGTAAACTTTAGTGATAAACAAAAAACCCTTAAAATACAGCAATTCTAAGATATAAAAAAAATAATATTTTAAGAAAATTATTCTTATAAGAAAATCATGTTAGATTTTTAAAATACATTGCAATATGCTTCTGTTCACAACACAAGCTCCTAGGTCCTAAGTCATGACTGTTAGAAGAGATTTCTTCAGCATAAACTGAATTTAATGGTTTAATTTGTTTTGATCTAGCAAAAAGACAAGACTTTAAATCCTTGAGAGGTAAAATCAGTCTTATGAAATTGTTCATTAAACATTGTCATTTTGGTTTTTTTCTCAGAATTCCTTACAGACCACCATAATATTTTTCTATTTCTTAATATCTAAAAGTGTTTATCAGTTGTTACCCATGAAAAATGGGTGAAATGATCCATTCTCACTTAAAAATTTTAAAGTGAAAGGATACCCTTCCCCAGTACAAGCCATTTCTTTTCCCCCACTGCTTTTATGTGTTATTCTAGATGGGTAATTTCTTTTTTCTAAGCCCAGTTTTCCATAAAGGAACACACACTGCAGGATATTATGCACACACTGTATACAAATATGTTATGGAAATGTTATGTATTACAAATACCCAACACTTGGCTTTCTTTCTCAGAAAAAAAACCTTTTAAGAAGGTTCAGTTGCATAATTAGCAATAATTAATGAATACAAGTGGTGTTCACAGTTAACAAAAGTCACTTTTTTGCAAGTTTATTTCTATAATTCAAGATTTTCTTCTACAAACTAAACTTAGCCAGCTGTAATTACTAAAACATTCAAGCTTGACTACAGATTGGACAACTTGTGAGTCATGGTGATGACAGTAACAGTGAAACAGAAGGCTGAACTGGTGGTTCAAGGACTGGGCAAGGTTGTAGGATACGAACATTCTGTTCTTTTTCTGCCCCAAACTTCTGTAGTCTTTGGCATGTCATTCTAGCATTTTATACAAGTGACCCCAGTTGTGAAATGTAATTTAGCCTTTGGAGATAAATTCACATGCATTATGATAGAGATGTGACTTTCACAAGAAACCAAAATTAAAAAGGAGTACCTGGACCAAAAGGAGTTATTTTTCAGACCATCTGTAAGGACAAAAGCCATATAATTTTTGGATCCCAGTCACATTATTAGACCCATGTGAATAAAACCCTTATCTTTTATAGAGTTCTATAGAGTTCTACTGTCATCTCATTTTGTTACTTATCTTCAGAGTAGCTGCCTACAAGCTTGGGACTCCATTTGTGCTTTTCCAGACTGAGAATCAGGATCATCAATGTACTTTTCTTTTTCTTACAATACAGTGTGAATAAACAACTAAGACATGGACTAAACTACATTAATTGAGAAAATAACTTTTGGCAGTGTTACAAGACTATCGCAGAAGGCCCACCAAGAAAACTATTAAAAGCAAGTCAGAACAAAAAAATACAATGCTGGTGATAAAAAGAAGATAGTAGTGGTGAAAAACTTCACCTCAGATAGGAGGATGAGGTCAACTGTAGTGCTGTAAGATGAATGCAGAAATACCAGTGAATTGGACAGAATAACAGAGAAACCCAGACAGTTATTATCTGTGCTCTGGCTCACTGGTGAGATCCAAACTCTGCAGTGGCCATTCTCCCAAAAAGAACTTTTTTCTGAAATGGCAGTCCTTTTTTGTCTACATGAAATCTGGAAGCAAAGATGGGAAAAATCATGATGTAAAAATAAGTCAATTTTAGTGAATAAAGGTGCATACACACACACACACACACAGAGAGAGCCCTGTATTTTATGTAGGTGTAATTACTGTGTTTGCATCTTGTTCTAACATCTGCTGAAATGAAACACCTAGGGGACACACACACACACACACACACACACACACACACACACACACACACACACACACACACACACACACACACACACACACACACAGAGCCCTGTATTTTATGTAAGTGTAATTACTGTGTTTTCATCTTGTTCTAACATCTGCTGAAATGAAACACCTAGGGGAAGGACAGCAATTGTTTTCATTGCTTAGTTTTTGTTATATCTTTCTGCATCCATATCTCAAGCTGGAGTACACAAATCAGACTGAATAGATACTTAAACTCTTAAATAATGTCTCTTATTCTCTGTTATCTTAAAATTCTTAAATTTCTTGGCAAAATTATCAGGATGTTAGCAAGAGGAGTTCTTGTTTGTGTCTTGTACTTGTGTTTATGGTGAAAATAGCAGCCTTTAAGTGCAGTGAAGCAGGACAACAAATAGGATTCCCATATGCCTAAGCATATCAGGCCTTGCACAGTCAATTCTTTCAACACGTTGTGTAATTTGTACATTTCACATTCAAATCTCAGTGTTGCTCATTAAATGCTGGGTCTTACATGAATTACTGGGTTTAGAATGTTCTTACAGTTGATTTAAAATTCAACTTTTTAGTGTCTCAGTAACAAAAGTATTATAACCAGTAGGATGTGATAATGCCAGAACAGGGTTTCCTTCCACCCAACTATTAGAAATCAAGTGTTATATTGTATTTATCTCCATCTTCAGTTTCTGTTCTTTTTATGCACCCGTGTAGTTCTTCCTAGATATAAACATGGATTCAGATTTTATTGTAAAGAGTTTACAAACAAGTACAATAAATAGCTCAAGAAGTAGAAATACTTCCCTGTTGAAAATATGAAAATACTTCCTCAGAAGCATTGAGGAAAAGAAATCCAAAAATTGCAAATCTGGAAAAACACAGACATCTATTCTGAATTTTCTCAAAAGCCAATATTTTCTCTTACATTTGCCTAGATTTTAATCGGTATCAGAACAGAGGGATCTGAAATAATATTAACTGTACTACTGACTTGAAATTATGTTTACTTCTGGAAAGCTAAAAATTTTTAAATAGTATGTTTGTATCTAGGAAAAAATAGTGAATTTTCTTGAACTAACTTCTAGGTTGTTCACTGGTCATTCTAATTTCACCGGTCATTCAAAATTCACTGGTCATTCTAATTTTTTTGGATTTACTTGAGAGAGGTTATGTAGTACCTCAAAGTTAATAGTGTAAGAAAATTTTCTTTCATCTTCAAAAAAAGTAACTCATGGACTCCAAAATGTTTTGCTTTATTATTGAAAGATTTATTTATGTCACAGTGCACATCATAACTGTGAAGCCAAACAGCTGGAAGCCAGGCAAGTGTATATGTTACACTCCCTACACTATTACTACCACTTCTGTTAATAATGTGCACTCTTTAACTAAATCCTTCTTGTCAGAGTGATATTTCTTTAGTTTTTGACACAATGTGATTAATGTTCTGCCACCAAAAAAAAAAAAAATTCCAAATGCTGAGGGTTTGGGAGATAGTGGCTAAAGAGTAATTTTTCAAAAAGTATTGATCCAGGTTATCTGCAGATCCAGGTTATCTACAAGATAAATTTTGAACACAGTAAATAGTTGATCTTTTTTATCATTTTATCTTAGAAAAGCCTCATGGGTAATTTGCATTAATAATAGAATAACACAATGTATGTTTAAAAATAGCCCTGCAGAATACCCCAGGAAATAAATTGTATAAAATGTTTTTCTTTAATTTTCTAATTACATCATTGTAGGCAGGTTGAGGATGAGCATATACATTGTTTCAACTAGTTGTATAGTAAACAACTGATACTACTTTTAGGTGGAGAAAACAGTAACGAATCCCTATTAAAGAGTCAGATGTTTACATTGAATCTGGATACTTACCTAGAAAGCAAAAACTTGTAGAAAGTGAGCCAGTATAATGTACCTCTAGTCTGTAAGGACTTCTCACTTCTGGATGGGGTAAAAGGTGCTGATCTGTTTATTGGGGAAATTTAGTTAAGACAAGGGTGCAAGGAAATGGAAAGAGATATCCTCAGATGACTGACCTGCTTCTAATTTTGGATGCCTTGTTCAGTTACTGTCAACATTAAGAAAGTAACATTTCAATGAAAAATTATTCATCCTAGGTTACATATTCACAGAATCACAAGGTTGGAAGAGACCTTAAAGATCATCGAGTCCAACCCATGCCCTAACACCTCAACTAAACCATGGCACCGAGTGCCACATACAGTCTTTTTTTAAACACATCCAGGGATGGTGGCTCCACCACCTCCTCATGCACACCATTCCAGAACTTTATCACCCTTTCAATAAAACTTTTCCCTATTATCCAACCTATATTTCTCTTGGTGCAACTTGAGACTGTGTCCTCTGGTTCTGTCAGCTGCTGTCTGGAGAAAGAGACCAACCCCCACCTGACTACAACCACCCTTCAGAGAGTTGTAGAGAGCAATAAGGTCACCTCTGAGTCTCCTTTTCCCCAGGCCAAACACCCCCAGCTCCCTCAGTCCCTCCTCACAGGCCTTGTGTTCCAAGCCCCTCACCAGCCTCGTTGCCTCCTCCGGACGTGCTCAAGTGTCTCAGGGTCCTTCCCAAAGTGAGGGGCCAGAACTGGACACAGCACTCAAGGTGTGACCTCACCAGTGCCGAGTACAGGGGAAGGATGACCTCCCTGGCCCTGCTGACCACGCTATTCCTGATCCAGGCCAGGATGCCCTCGGCCTTCTTGGCCACCAGGGCTCACTGCTGGCTCATATTGAGCCAGCTGTCACC